CCTCCCTGCCCAGTCCCAATCCTTCTCCCCCCCCCCGGAACCGACGTTGTAAAGCTCATTTTGGACATGACAACTTGTACTTCTCATTGTTGCAACAGGTCCACCTGTATCCTTAAACAACTGTTTTCATATTGTATTTTATATTTGCACTTCATAATTTTTTAGTACAGGGCTGGGAAGGTGAATCAGTGGTAGAGCGTTTGCCTTGCATGCATGAGGCCCTGGGTTTGATTCCTCAGCACCACATAAGCAGAAAAAAAACCCAGAAGTGGCGCTGTGGCTCCAGTGGAAGAGTGCTAACCTTGGGCTGAAGAGCTGAGGGACAGTGCCCAGGCCCAAAGTTCAGGCCCCACAACTGGACCCCCCCAAAAAAAAATTTAGAATTTTTTAGTACATTTTTTATTGTGAAAATATCATACAGAGGGGTTACAATTACATGAGCAAGGTAATAAGTACATTTCTTTTTTTTCTCATTCTTGGATTTTATTTTTACTATATCATAAATATTCTGCTATATTAGTTATATGAGACTTCTTTTTTTTAATTTAATTTAATTTTATTTGTGAACATACTGTACAGAGGGGTTACAATTACATGGGCAGGATAATGCGTACATTTCTTACCAAGCATTGCATCCTCCTCCTTTGTTTACCCTTCACATCCCTTCCCAGCCTCCCCCCTCTGAGACTTCTTTTTTTTTTAATTGTGAAAATACCGTACAGAGGGGTTAGAATTACATGGAAAAGGATAAATGCATTTCTTATCAAGCAGTGTTGCCTCCTCCTTTGTTTTTCCCCTACCATCCCTGCCCTCCCATCTCCACGACCATACTCCCCTCTTCTCCTCCCCTGCATTTTATAATTTATAGGACTCTTTTACCCTTATCATTGCTTTTCAAAAGGTAAAATTTTTTTTATGGGTTATTTAGCACAGAAGCGGGAAGAAGTCTGAGCTATAATCTGTTTGCAGAGATAAGATTTGATTGCTTGGCAATAGTTCCTAAATAATATTTTAGCACATGCAAATTACATAAAGGTAATTAAGAGCATGTAAACAATAGGATAGAAAAGGTAGGGGTTAGAATGAAATAATACTTGTTAGGAAGGTTTTCTGAATGAGACAAATTTTGAGATACATAGAGATGTATAAAAACTAGTGATTTTTCTAAAACCACTTTATCATTTTTATGTATCATTTAGCTAGTACATAAGATTTTTTTGTTTTGTTTTGCTTTAAAGGTACAGGGGTTTGAATTTAGAGCTTTAGGCTTGCTCACATGACACTCTACCACTTGAGCCATGCCTGCAACCCTGTTTTTGGCTTTTTTTTCAGTCATGAGGATTAAACTCAGGGTCTGGGCACTGTCCTTGAGCTTTTTTTTTTTTTTTTGGTTGGTGTGGGGCTTGAACTTGGGGTTGGATGCTGTCCCTGAGTACTTCTGCTCAAGGCTAGCACTCTACCACTGAGGCACAGCGCCACTTCCAGTTTTCTAATGGTTAATTGGAGATAAGAGTCTCACGGGCTTTCCTGCCCATGCTGGCTTTGAATCTCAATCCTCAGATCTCAGTCTCCTGGGTAGCTAGGTGAGAGCCAGCAGCACTCAGTCTTACATGGTTTCTAATAGCACCCTGATCCATTTTCAAGACCAAGTATACATTCCCCTGTTTATACATTAAGAGTCACAAAATCGGGCTGGGAATGTGGCTTAGTGGTAGAGTGCTTGCCTAGCATGCATCAAGTCCTGGGTTCGATTCCTCAGTACCACATAAACAGAAAAGTCTGGAAGTGGCTCTGTGGCTTAAGTGGTAGCCTTAGTGGCTGAGTGGAAGCTTAGGGAGAGTACCCAGGCCCAGATTTCAAGCCTCAGGGCTGGCAAAAAAAAAAAAAATAGAGTCACAAAACTAAGAATTGACTATTTAATTCAATTTGTGATTTATGAGAAAATCACATGCATGTTGCATATCATGTAAGACAGTTGTGTTGCGCTTTCTTCTAGTTATGTCACTAGAAGGTATTGGTTGTGTTATAAATGTTGAGCAGGTGGTAACTAATGTCCATCTCCATCTACTCCTTATGCAAAGGAAATGTGCAATCAAGGAGTATTGTGATGGTTTCAGTATTGCAAGGTTAGGTCCTGCATCAGTGTTATGATAGATAACAAGAGTCTGATTAGTAAGCTGGTTTGTTTTCATTATTTTATTGTTCCTTCTGTGTTTGTTTAAAGAATAAAGACTACAAATGCCTAATGGAGAAACTGACCAGTCTGGAAGGCGCATACAGCTCTGAGACTGAGAAACTACGAAGTGACTTAGAACGTCTTCAGCTAAGTGAGGAGGAGGCTAAGGTTGCCACTGGACGGGTCCTGAGTCTACAGGAAGAAATTGCCAAGCTCCGGAAAGACCTGGAACAAACCCAGTCAGAGAAAAAATCCATTGAAGAACGAGCAGATAGATATAAACAAGAAACTGAGCAGGTAGGAATTGAAGGCCATATTCTCTTCTATTCCTTGCACAAGTAAATATGCTGTCATCTTGATGTGGTATATATATATAGCTCAACATTCATTTTAATCGAAAATGTAGGGGCTGGGAAGGTGGCTCAGTGGTAGAGCGCTTGTCTTGCATGCATGAGGCCCTGGGTTTGATTCCTCAGCACCACATAAGCAAAAAGAAAAAAAGCCAGAAGTGGCGCTGTGGCTCAAGTGGTAGGGCGCTAGCCTTGAGCTGAAGAGCTGAGGGACAGTGCCCAGGCCCAGAGTTCAGGCCCCATGACCGGACCCCAAAAAAAAAAGAAAAGAAAATACAAATATGAGTCAGTTCTCCCCCATGAAACAAAATACCTGGGTTGAATAGGAAAAGAGGTTTACTTAGCCCAGAACATGGTGCCAGCATCAGGAGAGGGCCTGGTGAGGTGTCTTAACATGGCAGAGGCATCACTGGCACAACAGAACCAGGGTCCCCGAGAAAGATCACTACTTCCACAAAGTCACACCCTCAATAACCCATTCATCCATTAATAGGTTATTCCATTGAAGACAGTGGAGTCCTCATGCCCCAGTCACAGGTAATCCGTGGATGTGGTGATTGAGTTTCCAACACATGAAATTTAGGGGTATATTTAAACCCTGTTTTAAATACAGTCTTTTACTAGCCCTGGCTGGCCTCAAATTCACAATCCTCCTACTGTAGCCTCCCAAGTGTCCTTTTCATAAGTAGAAAACCTACCACTGTTAGGAAGCAAATCAGACAAGGAGCCACTAGTTCCTGAGGGTGGGAATCCTTATGGAAACCTTCAGTCACATGTGTGAAGTCCAGACACAGACACAGAGAGAGAAAGAGAGAGAGAGAGAGAGAGAGCAGATAGAGCCACCCTCAGACATCTTCCATTTCTGCTAATTTGTTGTAACTAATATTAACACTATTAAAGACTAGAGCACTGGAGATGCTCAAGTAGTGGGGAGATCATTTCCAAAAGTACCTCAGCAGAAAACTTACTGGAAAATAGTCATCAATTTTGAGAGATTCCACTGAGATCACCATCTTTAACAAAGCCAGGTTTGACTGTGTCTGCTATTACTCCTCGCCAGAATCCTGGTTGGCTTTTTCTTTACTGACTTCTTTCTTTCTTTCTTTTCCTTTCTTTCTTTCTTTCTTTTTTTCTTCCTTCCTTTCTTTCTTTCTTTCTTTCTTTCTTTTTTGGGTCTGGTGGTGGGCCCTGAACTCTGGGCTTGGGCACTGTCCCTCAGCTCTTCAGCTCAAGGCTAGCACTCTACCACTTGAGCCACAGCGCCACTTCCAGCTTTTTCCCCCCCTGCTTATGTGGTGCTGAGGAATTGAACCCAGGGCCTCAGGCATGCAAGGCAAGCGCTCTACCACTGAGCCACCTTCCCAGCCCTGACTTATTTCTTTCTATGGCTTGAACTCAGGGCCTCATGCTCCCACTTTTTCTGTTCCACGCTGGCGTTCTACCACTTGAGCCATGCCTCCTATACTTATACCTTCTATACTTGTACTATCTTTAATGCCTCCACCCCAGCTTTGTGTTGGTTAACTGAGGATGGAGTGTCATGGACTTTTCTGCCTGGGCTGGCTTGGCACCTGAATCCTCAAGATTTTAAGCGTTCTGAATAGCTAGGATTACAGGCATAAGCCACTGTGGGGCTGAGCTTATTTTAACTATTTTCAGTGGGCAGTTCCTGGCAGAAAGCATATTGACATTGTTTTATTTTTGTTTTGTTTTGTTTTGCCAGTCCTGGGTCTGAACTCAAGGCCTGAGCACTGTCCCTGAGCTACTTTTGTTAAAGGCTAGCATTCTACCACTTGAGCCAGAGCACCACTTCTGGCTTTTTCTGTGTATGTAGTACTGAGGAATTGAACCCAAGGCTTGATGCATGCTAGGCAAGCACTCTACCACTAAGCCACCTTCCCAACCACATGGACATTGTTATAAGGCCAGTACTTCTGAAAAACATGGGATGAAAGGACTAGTCCTTGAATAGTCTTCAAAGGGGATGAAAAAGAAATTTTCTTTTTCAAAATAAGTTAGAAGGAGCTGGGAAAGTGGCTTAGTGGTTGAGTGCTTGCCTAGCATGCATGAAGCCCTGGTTTTGATTACTCAGTGTCACATAAACAGAAAAGGCCAGAAGTGGTGCTGTGGCTTAGTGGTAGAATGCTAGCCTTTAGCAAAAGTAGCTCAGGGACAGTGCCCAAGCCCTGAGTTCAAGCTGCATAAAAAAAAATAAGTTCGAGGGAGCATCAGAAGGTCTTCAATAAACTTCCCCAAAATAACTTCATGTCCTTTTTAACCCCCTTACTCTCCCTACTTGGATTGTGGGTGCACATGAGCTTTGTTTTGGTGTCGAAATAGTTTCATGGTGTTAAGAACAAATGGTGAATTGTAGAACGGCCACCCTCACCATCCTTGTCCTCCAGGGGTTTCTAGTCCAACAGAGCAGCCAGAAAAGTAAATCATTTATAGGAGCTAGAAAGAGGCATCTACAGGGTCTCATAGCCAGAGAAAAGACAGGTGTGATGGTGGTTTTTCCTAGAAGGCCATGTGGAGAGAGTCGTCTTGAGTCAGCTTTTCTGGATGGCTAGACTTATCTAGGCATGTCTTGTAAGGCAGACGTGAGGGCTGTATGGTCTCTACATCTCATTTGTCTGTTTTCTTTTTATAGCTGGTGTCGAACCTGAAGGAAGAAAATAGTTTGCTGAAGCAGGAGAAAGAGGTCCTCAATCACCGCATCGTGGAACAGGCGAAGGAGATGACAGGTAAGGCTGGCGGGGCCGGCCTACTGCATGCCACCCACCACCCTCATCAGCCTGTGAGCAGATACAGGGCTCCCTGAGCTTAAATATTTTCAAAAGTGGAGGCTATTGTCAAATACATTTCCCATACTTACAAGTAATAAGAGCCCAAACATTTTGGTTGAATTTGTTGGTGAACTAATAAAACCTGATCTCTCATGTATGTACTCTCAGTTAATGTCATATGTAATCTTTTTTTTTTTTTTTCTGGGCACTGTCCCTGAGCTTCTAAGAAGCTCAAGGCTAGCACTCTGCCATTTGAGCCACAGCTCCACTTCCAGCTTTTTCTGTTTGTGTGGTACTGAGGAATCAAACTCAGGGCTTCATGCATGCTAGACAAGCACTCTACCACTAAGTCACCTTCCCAGACATGTAATCTTTTTTTTTAATTTAAATTTTATTGTAGGGCTGGGAAGTTGGCTCAGTGGTAGAGCGCTTGCCTTGCATGCCTGAGGCCCTGGGTTCAATTCCTCAGCACCACATAAGCAAAAAGAAAAAAGCCGGAAGTGGCGCTATGGCTTAAGTGGTAGGGCACTAGCCTTGAGCTGAAGAGCTGAGGGACAGTGCTCAGGCCCAGAGTTCAGACCCCACAACCGGACCAAAAAAAAATTTAAAAAAATTTAAAAAAAAATTAAATTTTATTGTAAAGGTGATATAAAAGTATTGTAAAGGGCTTACATACATAATCTTGCTAAAAAATTAATTTGTTCTGCATACATGATTTATAAGTTATGACTTACAGTGTTCCTGTTGGTTTAGTAAGAATTCTTAAGCTCTAATGTAGCAGAGATATGTGTTTCTTTTGTTGTTGTTGTTGATTGTGGGGCTTGAACTCTGGGCCTGCGCACTGTCCCTCAGCTCTTCAGCTCAAGGCAGGCAGTCTACCACTTGAGCCTCAGCGCCACTTCCAGTTTTCTGAGTGGTTTATTGGAGATAAGAGTCTCACCAACTTTTCCTGCCTGGGCTGGCTTTGAGATCCTCAGATCTCAGCCTCCTGTGTAGCTAGGATTACAGGTGTGAGCTACCGGTACCCAGCTGGAACGTAGTTTTATAGAGTATTTTAGAGAGAAACAATTCATTGCTTGTTTTGTTCATTCATTCATTCATTCATTCGTGACCCATGAAAGCAGCACTGGGGAAGCACTGTGGTAGGCCTGGCAGTATCAGTTGTGACCTGGCACTTGCCTCATGGAACTATAGAGCACAGAAATGTTGAAGCAGGCAGGGAAAATGAAGATGAATCCACAAAGTAAGGGTCAAGAGTGTGATGGTGGAAGCATAATGTTACAAGTCACCGGTTGGCTCATGGAGTTAAAACATAGAGCCGACGTGCGTCTTTTTAATTTGTACCACCTGCCACTAAAAATGAATCTGGGAGACCACATCCTAGCCTAGAGCAATCCAAACACTGGGACTGGAGAAGACAGAATGGTAGGGGACTGGGAGAAGGGGCTTAGATGGAAAAGTTCGGGTTCCCCAAGCATGAGAGCTGGCCAAGATAGATGATAGCAGAGATGACAAAGCATGTATCTGGTTAGCAGAGGAAGAAGAGGCTGGGAACCCCATGTTCTCAATGATATGATGCAGCCAGGAGGCAGAAGAAAACAGGCAAGCTCTGTTAGAGTAGAGGAGCTGTGTTTCTTGAAACTTGCCATTCTTTTGAGAAATGTCTCTGCCTTGTTCTGTGAGTGTGCCACTGTTGGAGCTTGCTCTCTGGCTTAGCTTTGGGGCTCCAGGCTCCCAGTCTACCACTTGGAGCCACAGCTCCACTTTCAGCATTTTGGTAGTTAGTTGTAGGTAAGGGCCTTGTGGATGTGTCTGCCTGGCTTTGAACTGCGATCTTCAGATCTCAGACTCTTGATTAGGATTATAAACATGAGCCACCAGCACCCGGCTGTCTCTGACTTCTCCTTTGGGGGTCACATTTTGCTTTCTCTGCATTCACTGGATATTCTAGTACTGGTGCTAAAAGTGAACCCCATGAACAGAACTGGAAGATTTTGGGGAGCCATCTTCTGGAAAACCATCTTTGTTCTGGAAATCTTCTTCTTTCTTTGTTTCTTTCAGAAACTATGGAGAAGAAGTTAGTAGAAGAAACAAAACAACTGGAACTTGATCTAAATGATGAGAGGCTGAGGTATCAGAACCTTCTGAATGAGTTCAGTCGCCTGGAAGAACGATACGATGACCTCAAGGAAGAGATGACCTTGATGGTGGTGAGCCCAGCACTACTTGGTGGGGGGAGGCCAGAGGAAAGGTTTAGGGTCTCACTACATAGCCCAAACTGGATGTGAATTCACAGTCCTCCAGCTTTCTCCTTTTGAGTGGGATTACAGGTGTATGTTAGCACACTTTGTTTTTGCTTTTTTTTTTTTTTTTGCTTTGAGAGGCAAGATTTTAGGTATGTGCAAAAGTAAATAGAATAATAGCATGATCTCCATATTCCACATTATCACCCAGTTTCAGAATGGTCAACAAATAATAACAATAATAATAACAATGACAACAGCAACAAAATAAGCAGGTGCTAGTGGTTCAGAGCCTGTAATCCTTAGCTACTCAGGAAGCTGCTCCTTTGATGGAGCATGGTATGAAGCCAGCCCAGGCAGAAATGTCTGTGAGACTTACCTCCAATTAGCAAAAAGCCAGAGGTAGAGCAATGGCTCAAATGGTAGAGCACTAGCCTTGAGTACAAAAGTTCAGGGATGGGCTAGGAAGGTGGCTCAGTGGTAGAGCGCTTGCCTTGCATGCCTGAGGCTCTGGGTTCAATTCCTCAGCACCACATAAGCAAAAAGAAAAAAGCTGGAAGTGACGCTGTGGCTCAAGTGGTAGAGTGCTAGCCTTGAGCTGAAGAGTTGAGGGACAGCGCCCAGGCCCAGAGTTCAGGCCTCACGACCGGACTGCTCCCCCCCCCAAAAAAAAAAAGAGAACACAAGCTCAGGGATAGTGCCTAGGCCCTGAGTTGAAGTCCCAGGACCAGGCGGGGAAAAATAATGTAATCCCAGAAATGCAACTTTTATTTCTCAGTAGTTCAGTAAAGTCAAATACTTTGAAGGCTGGGTTATATGACAGCATAAAGTCAATCCAGTAGGATTTTGTTTTCTATATGGAATGGCTTAATGGAAACTTTGCATATGAAGCAAATATTTAATATAAATGAGTATTTCTTCCAGTGGGTTCTTCTATAATTTCCAAGATAAACTCCTATAAAAAGAAATTTGACTTTTCTGTAATAGTTTATCTTATCCCTTTCAAAGACTCTTCTGTACTTTATTCGGAGTAGCTCTTGCTCTCCCGGGTCACCCAGTGCTCCTATCAGGAGCTGAGTCCCCAGGCTTTTTTGTCCCCCGCACGTATCAGCCGCGAGGGTGATCTAATGGTAGGAAGGGCCAGAATGCCCTGAAATCACCTCCTATGGAAAGAAGGTAATTTGGTATCTGTGGAGTAAGAGTTGTTGTTGTTGTTTTAATTTCATATTTTACTTCTGTCAGAATCTGCTTGTCAGAGTTCTTTAAAATGTAACCCAAAAGGAATTATTCTCACCCTGCAGATGAGTCTAAAGGAGATTACAAATGCTGGTTATTGGAGGCTTATTTGGAGATTTGTTTCAAACCTCACCAATCTTCCTTAATTGATAAATGATCAAGAGAAATTCAATGTTGGTCATAATTCTAACAAGGGGTCTGCCTTCCTCGGTCTCCTTGCTGCATTTGGTCCCTTTGAAACCTTTCCTCCTAGTTTGGCGCTGGTGGTTCATGCCTGTAATCCCAGCTACTCAGGAGGCTGAGATATGAGGATGTGGCTCAAAGACAACCTGGGCAGGAAAATCTGTGAGACTTTTATATCTAATTAACTAGCAAAAATCCAGAAGTAGAGTCATGGCTCAAGTAGTAGAGCATAATCCTTGAGTAAAAAGGCTAAGAGATAGTGGCCCTGAGTTCAAGCCCCAGCACTCCCCAGTGCTCATGGAAAAGAGAGAGAAAAAGAGGGGAAAGAGGGAAGTGGAAGAAAGAAAAGGGAAGGGAACAGAAACCTTTTTCCTTTGTTTCTGTCTTTTTTGGCTTTCTCTAGAATCCTTTTCCTCTCATTCAGCATCATGTTCTCCACAGTTCCATTCTTCACTCTCTTTACTAGATAACTATGCCAACTTTTCTGCTTCCTTTGTGTTTCAGTTCCAGTTAGAGCTAAGGTCTATATCCCATTGGGAATGTTAATAAGTACATGGCATCTGAGTTCAGATGGCTATGCTAAGCAGTCAGCCAAGCTAAACCTATACTTTTTTTCCTACAGAATTTCATTGGTTCTGTAGTAAATAGCGTGAGCCTTGTAACTCACAGAAAATGAAATGAGAAACGTATGTGTCATGGTTATATCTCTCTCTGAGCATATTCCAGAGTTATCTGAGAGTTTCTAGTGGGATCACCTGTCTAGAAAGAGCCCTTCTGTGGTGACCATCCTCCCACCAGTTAATCCGGCTCCCTCTCCAGCTCAGCAAGTCTTGCTTGCTGTCTGACTTGCCACTGTATCTGTCACCTGTGACTCCCTCTGTTGCCTATGGGGTCAGAGTATGGCCCACCAGCTCTCACATTCTAGTTCCAGATTTGATTATCGTCTTTGGCCAGTCTCAGGAGACTGAGATGCAAGGATCACCTTTCAAAGCTAGCCAGAGTAGACAAATCTGAGGCTCTTATCTCCACTTAATCAGCAAAAAGCTGTAAGTGGAGGTGTGTCTCAAGTAGTAGAATGTCAACCTTGAGAGAAAAAGCTAAATAAGAATGAAATAACCAGGTGCTACTCAGGAGGCTGAGCTCTGAGGATCACGGTTCAAAGCCAGCCCAGGCAGGAAAGTCCGAGAGACTCTTATCTCCAATTAACCACCAGAAAACCCGAAGTGGCACTGTGGCTCAAGTGTAGAGCGCTTACCTTAAGCTGAAGAGCTCAAGGACAGTACCCTGACCCAGAATTCAAGTCCCACTGCTGACCAAAAAAAAAAAAAAAAATGAAATAGGTCCTGAGTTGAAGCTCTAGAATTTCCCCCACTCCCAAAAAAATTAAGAAGATGAAAACAGTAGTATTTCTTCCATTCATATCTTAAGGTGTTCATTGTGTAATGATAAACATACATGGGCTAAATAAGGGCTTTTTTTTGGGCCAGTTCTGGGGCTTGAACTCAGGTCCTGGGCACTGTCCCTGAGCTTCTTTTGCTCAAGGCTAGCAGTCTACCACTTGAGCCACAGTGCCACTTCTGGCTTTTTCTATGTATGTGGTACTAAGGAATTGAACCCAGGGCTTTATTCATGCTAGGTAACTACTCTACCACTAAGCCACATTTCCAGTTCTGGAGCTTGAATCCAGTGCCTCATGAATATTAGGCAAATACTTTACTACTGAGCTAATTCCCAGCCTTTACCCATTTTAATATGCTAATTTTAAAGATCTTTGTCCTAGTGTGTATCCACCTCTTTTTCTTAATAATACAACCACTTTATTAAATAAACACCATCTAATACAATAGTACATCTAATACAGTAGTAACAGATACCCTTTGTTTTTTTTTATTGTGAAAAAACTGTACAGAGATTACAATTACATGGGCAAGTACATACTCTTAAATAGAGTAAATCTACTTGCATTTATGTCTGATAATTCTCCATATCACTGTGCATCTACCTCTGGATGGTTCTAGAGGTTCTAAAGTCTTATTTGGGTCTTTTACCATTACTGGGGCTTGAACTTAGGACCTTATTCTCTTGTTCAAGGATAGTGTGCTCTACCACTTGAGCCACACTTCTGCTTCCTGCTTTTTGCCAGTTAATTGAAGATAAGAAGATTACATACACTTCTGCTTGGACTGGCTTCAATCGCATATCCTCAGATCTCAGACTCCTGAGTAGTTAGGATTCCAGGCATGAGCCACTGGCATGCAGCTCATGGAAGATTTTTCATTTGGATTGGTTTTGTTCTTGTCAAGCAGACACACTCCTTGGTAGGAATTGGGTCATTGATAGTGTAGAACCCTAGGTCTCTGGGCTGTCAGTACATGTTAGTGAGTGGGAATGAGACCAAGTCCAAACGAGTACAATCTTAATTATGCCTCGTTTCATTATGTTGTGTTCATTATACCCAGATTATTTGCTTTGCAGAATGTGCCTAAGCCTGGACACAAGAGAACAGACTCTACCCACAGCAGCAACGAGTCCGAGTATACCTTTAGCTCTGAAATGGCAGAAATGGAAGACATCCCATCAAGAGCAGAGGTATATTTTACATATCTTCCCTGTTACGGGGAGGATGGCACCATGATGTTGTCTACAGGGAACATTTTCTATAAGGGACTTACAGGTGCTTAATTAGCCATGCATATGCATATGTAGATGTAGATGTATTGCACATATCAATCTTTCATTTACTTTGCTGCTGGGCATTGAACCCAGGGCCTTCTGCATGGTAAGCACCTGCTATACCACACTGGTGGATACCCCCTATACCCACATTTTCGTTTCTAATTTTTTTTGTTTTTATCTTTGTTTGTTTTTGTTTCTGGGTGTTTGTTTGTTTGTTTGTTTTTGCTAGTCTTGGGGTTTGAACTCAGGGGCAGGGCACTGTCCCTGAGCTTCTTTTGCTCAAGGCTATAACTTGAGCCACAGTGCCACTTCCAGCCTTTTCTGTTTATATGGTACTGAGGATTCGAACCCAGGGTTTCATGCATGCTAGGCAAGCAATCTACTACTGAGCCACATTCCTAGCCCATGTTTCTAATGTTTTGATAGTGATAGTTTCCTTCAGAATTCCATTTTCTACATTAGCACATCCTTTGTACAAAAAATATAAGCTATGAGGAATCCATTTCAAGCTGAGATAAACTATTTGAAAAGTAAGACCTTAGCCTAGAACTGGTAGCTCATGCCTGTAATCCTATTTTACTACTGTAAAGCTACTCAGATCTGAGGATCCTTGTTTTGAAACCAGCCTGCGGTGAAAAGTCTGTAAGATTCTTATCCTCAATTAAGCAGCAAAATGCCACACTAGAGGAGTGGATCAAGTGGTAGATCATCACCTATAAGCTAAAGTTTATTTCTTTAAAGCATAGGACTTGGAAGTTGGCTCAGTGGTAGAGCGCTTGCCTTGCATGCCTGAGGCCCAGGGTTCGATTCCTCAGTACCACATAAGCAAAAAGAAAAAAGCCGGAAGTGGCGCTGTGGCTCAAGTGGTAGAGTGCTCCCCTTGAGCTGAAGAGCTGAGGGACAGTGCCCAGGCCCAGAGTTCAGGCCCCATGACTGGACCCCCCCCAAAAAAAAAGCATAGCAGTCATTTTTTTAAGGCAAGTTATTATATATTGTTGGAAATATAAATTTCCCCAATTTAAAAGACTTAGAAATGTTTAGATATGGGGCTGGGAATGTGACTTAGTGGTAGAGACCTTGCCTACATGCATGATGACCTGGGTTCAAGTACCACATAAACAAAAATAAAAGAAATAAATTAAAAGAGAAAAAATATTAAAAAAGAAATGTTCAGATATTTATGTACTAAGATGTTTATTTTTAATGACAAAACATTATTTAAATAACAAAAAATTAGAAATAGCCTCAATGCCAGTCAGTAAGGTAATAGCTAAGCAATTGATGATATAGCTATCTATACCATTAAACAAACATAAATTTTTTTTTGGGGGGGTCTGGTTGTGGGGCCTGAACTCTGGGCCTGGGTGCCGTCCCTCAGCTCTTCAGCTCAAGGCTAGCACTCTACCACTGAGCCATCTTCCCAGCCCCAGACATAAATTTGTAAAGACCCTACTTAGAAGAACAAGCTGAGCATGGTGGTGACTACCTGTAATGCTACTACTTGGAGAACAGGGGCCACAGGGTGGTCAGAAACTGGCCTTGGCAAAAGCATGGAGCCCTATCTTTAAAAATAGACATAAAGCCAGGTGCTGGTGGCTCACGCCTGTAATCCTAGCTACTCAGGACGCTGAGATCTGAGGAGGTAGTTCAAAGCCAGCCCAGGCAAGAAACTTTCTGAGATTCTTATTTCCAATAAACCACTCAGAAATCCAGAAGTGGCTCTGTGGCACAGGTGGTAGAGCGCTCACCTTGAGCTGAATTGCTGAGGGACAGCGCCCAGGCCCAGAGTTCAGGCCCCATGACTGACCAAAAAAACAAACCAAAAAACTAGCCATAATAAAGAAAAAGCAAGGGCTGGGAAGGTGGTTCCGTGGTAGAGCGCTTGCCTTGCATGCTTGAGGCCCTGAGTTCGATTTCTCAGCACCACATAAGCAGGAAAAAAAGCTGGAAGTGGCGCTGTGGCTCAAGTGGTAGAGTGCTAGCCTTGAGCTGAAGACCTGAGGGACAGCGCCCAGGCCCAGAGTTCAGGCCCCACGACCGGACCCAAAAAAAAAAAGAAAAAGAAAAAGGGTGATATAGCCCTTGCCTAGCAATTGCAAGCTCTTGAGGTACAAACAGACCAACATATAAACACAGCATATTCTATTTCCCTCAATATCATGTGAGACACTGTTGCTAATACAGTACAGGGCACTGTTAATCTTTTCAGTTGTTGCCAATCTGATAAGGAAGAAGTAGTACTTTGTTTATTGCATTTCTCCACTTGTTACCTAGCTTGAGCCTGCTGGTTGTGCGTATTGTTTGGATATGTATTTCTCTCTTGTCAGCTGGACTAATTTTCTGTTAAGCCAGTCATTGGCTCCTCTTGACTGTCCTGTGACTTCTGTGGTCCAGGAGCCGAGCGAGAAGAAAGTACCTCTGGACATGTCCTTGTTCCTCAAGCTACAGAAGAGAGTCACAGAGCTGGAGCAGGAGAAGCAGGTGATGCAGGACGAATTAGACCGCAGAGAGGAGCAGGTGCTGCGCAGCAAGGCCAAGGTGAGAGTGAGGCACCTAGCCCCAGTCCCTGGCAGGCCAAGGTGAGCAGGTGCCCTGACCCCAGCCCCAGGCAGGACCAGAGCTGCTGGGGCCAGGGCCCTTTCTGAAACCTTTCCTTCTCTTATTTCTTTGTGGGCAGTCCAGTATTTTGCTGTTTAACTGAAAATGGACTCTTAAAACTTTTTTGCTTGGGCTGGCTTTGAACCTTGGTCCTCCAGATCTCAGCCTCCTGGGCTGCTAGGATTACTGGCACCCAGTTTCTTCACTGGTTTCTGAAGAACAAATAAACATTGCAAGAATAAAAACATGCCAACTTATATGTAAAGTTTTTACTTCTCCCTCCCTTCCCCCCCAGGAAGAAGAAAGACCACAACTTAGAGGTGCAGAACTGGAATATGAGTCCCTCAAGGTAAAGGGAATTTTCTAGCTGACTTTAAATACTTTTTTGCACAAGAGACCTTCCCAGAATCTGGTGGTTGTTTTTTTTTTTTCTCCCTCAGAGAATACCCTTAGCTCTGAGCCCTGGCTTATGCCTCTTCATGTGTTACTTCTAGCCCATGTAGATTCTTTTTATAAATTCTATTTCTTCTTTTTTTATTTTTAAGCATTCATTAGTTATGTACGGGGTGATTTCATTAAGACCTTTGTACTCATATATATAATGTATTCTAATCAATCTTACCCCGTCTATCACATTCCCTTCTCCCTTACCCCCTTGCTACAATAATTGCAGCAGGTTTTTTTCTTTTTTTGGGGGGGGGTCCGGTCGTGGGGCCTGAACTCTGAGCCTGGGCGCTGTTCCTCAGCTCTTCAGCTCAAGGCTAGCGCTCTACCACTTGAGCCACAGCACCACTTCCAGCTTTTTTTTTTCTTTCCACTTATGTGGTGCTGAGGAATCGAACCCAGGGCCTAATGCATGCAAAGCAAGGCACTCTACCACTGAGCCACCTTCCCAGCCCCAGTTGCAGCAGGTTTTACTGTTTTATAGTCATACAGGCAAATAATACTTTGACCATAATCATCCTCTTTCACCCTGCTTGTTATCCCTCCCCCTCCTAGAGAGGACTGGGGCGGGGGGTACTGCCATTTCAATCTACAATCCTGAAGAACATAGGCTGAATAGTGCCTGCCTGGTTCAAGTGCTCCTTGTGTCACAGGAAAACCTGATTGGGGCTGAGGGTGTTGTAGACCTGAGACACAGGGGTAACCATATGCTCTCCAGACTGTCTCCTGCCTCATGTACACAGGAACAAATAAAGACACTGCTGTATGCCAGTGCCAGGGCTGGTACACAGGGCCTTGTGCTCTCACTTGGCTTTTTCACTCAAGGCTGGTGTTCTCTCATTTGAGCCATACCTCTACTTCCCAGCAATATGTATTTTTTAAATTTTTATTATTTATTCATTTACTTACTTATTTTTGTTAGTCATGGGCCTTGAACTCAGGGCCTGGGTGCTGTCCCTGAACTCTTTTGCTCAAGGCTAGTACTGTACCACTTTGAGCCACAGCCTTACTTCTGGTTTTCTGTTGGAGATAAGAGTCTCACAGACTTTCCTCCCCAGGCTGGCTTTGAACCGTGATCCTTAGATTTCAGCCTTTTGAGTAGCGTTGAGCTACTGGCATCTGGCAATATGTATTAAAATTTCAGAAGTCAGGTTTTGAGTATACTGCTTCTTAGGCAAGCAATATGTATTTTAACAAGAATTCCAGGTGATTCTGATATACATTGAAGTTTGAAAACACTGATGCTAAGGCATCAAACTAAAGACATTTGTATGTTTTCTGTTATACAGATGAACTATCCAACTCTGATTACAATTGGTAAGAGATGGAGAATAGTGGAAGCATTCATTTTTACAGTAGAGTACATTTTTACAGTAGAGTACAAGCCCCAAAGATTGTCTCTGGGATCTTTAGACAGTTCCAATTTCATCTGGTCCTGTGGTCTGTGCTAAATAAAGCCCCAAGGAAGCCAGGTACCAGTGGCTCACGCCTGCAATCCTAGCTACTAAAAGAGGCTGAGATTTGAGGACCAAGGTTCAAAGTCAGCCCAGGCAGAAAAGTACATGAGATTCTTTTTTTTGGTCCAGTCGCAGGGCCTGAACTCTGGGCCTGGGCGCTGTCCCTCAGCTATTCAGCTCAAGGCAAGCACTCTACCTAGAGCCACAGCGCCACTTCCGGCCTTTTTCTTTTTGCTTATGTGGTGCTGAGGAATTGAACCCAGGGCCTCAGGCATGCAAGGCAAGCACTCTACCACTGAGCCACTTTCCCAGCCCCTACATGAGATTCTTATCTCCAGTGAACCACAAAAAAGCCAGAAATGGAGCTGTGGCTCAAGTGGTAGAATGCTAGCCTGGAGCAGAAAAGCTCAGGGACATTGCTCTGTTCCTGAGTTCAAGCCCCAGGACTGCCCCCCTAAAAAAAAAAAAAGATTTCAGGGTCCACCCACTGGAACTATTCATTCGAAGTATCTTATTCTGCTTCAGAGTTGGAATTATTTTCTATTTCCCTGCAAATAAATCGTGAGTCTCTTAGACTACTTCCACCCTTTTGACACTCATCAATCTCTCTCAGCCTGGAGACACACCTGGAGCATTCCAGAATACACTTGCCTGTGGAATTTAGGTTGATGATTCAAACTACCATTAGCTTTGCTCAGTTCCACTGGATGCCTTGCCTCCCTAACTTACTTAGCAGCCTTCCCAGAAGGTTCTGGAAGCCATTCACTGGGGGAGCTTTAATGTCCATTTCAATCAGAATTCTCTACCAGCCCGCCTGGGGCAAGTTGAGTTTTCCAATGTATCATCTGTCAAGAAGGACAGCAGTGAACTTGGCTTTATCTCCTCCTTCAGCGTCAAGAACTCGAGTCAGAAAACAAGAAACTGAAAAATGAGCTCAATGAGTTACGCAAAGCCCTCAGTGAGAAAAGCGCTCCGGAGGTGACGGCGCCTGGAGCTCCTGCCTACCGCGTCCTCATGGAGCAGTTGACCTCGGTGAGTGAGGAGCTGGATGTCCGCAAGGAGGAGGTCCTCATCCTGCGGTCTCAGCTGGTCAGCCAGAAAGAGGCCATCCAGCCCAAGGTAAGTGCCAGCATACACGGCTGGAGTCTGGGAGAAGCCTGCCACTTCTTAACCTTTGCCTGTAATTCAGAATGAAGCAAACTTATTAAGCAATCATAGAAACAAAAAAAACCCCAACAAATGGAATCCCAATTGACCTTCAAAGTTTCATCTGTTACTCACAGACAAAGAATTTTTTTTTTTTTTTCTGATTCTGGGGCTTGAACTCTGTGCCTAGCTATCCCTGGGCTAAGGCTAGTGCTCTACCACTGGAGCCACATCACCTTTTCCAGCTTTTTCTGTGATTAATTGGCGATAACAGTCTCACAGTCTTTCCTGCTGGGGCTGACTTCAAGCCTCAGTCCTCAGCTCTTAGCCTCCTGAGTTGCTAGTATTACAGGCATGAGCCACCAGCGCCTGGCTACAAGACATAAAATTAATCTTTGTTGGACCACAAATACTTGGTATGAATGTGTCATTACCAGGGTTTGAACTCAGGGCCTGGGTGCCATCCTTTAGCTTTTTTACTCAAGGCTAGCACTCTACCACTGGAGCCATAGCTCCATTTCTAGTTTTTTGGTGATTAATTGGATATAAGAGTACCATGGACTTTGCCATCCAAGCTGGCTTTGAACCTTGATCCTTAGATCTCAGCCTCCTGACTAGCTAGGATTACAGGTATGAACTACCAGCACCCAGATTCTCAGTACTTTTTGGTGATAGTGGAGAATGAATTTAGGGCTTTGCACTTGCTAGGACAGGTGCTCTACTATTTTTCCCTCTCCCACACCTTACCCTCCTAGAGAGCAACCCCCTTTTATGTTCATGTCTGATGTGGCTGGGCCTGGGGAAAGAAGGCTGCATGCTTGCTGGGGTTCATTCCAAAATCAAGATTCTCTTCTGATGATTCCCATGTGAAAAACTGATAGTCTTTTGTTTTTTTAAGTTTACAAGCAACAATTGTATATACTTGCAGAGTACATGGCGATAATCTCACAAGGACATGTAGTAAAAGTTGAAAGTATGAGAAAAATGAAATGTGCAACATAAAAACCCTGTAGCTTTCAGAGCTTAGAGCTCTGATATCAAATGTACTCACCCAGCCCACACAACCTATGAGACAGCTGATCTACCTCTGATGGGCCGCCCTGTCTGACCCAGGTCCCTGTTCACCCAGCACCAGCCTACACAGGGCAACTGCCTTAGTCTCGCCTAGGAAAGATGCCCACAACACTGATGTTCTAACACCCCAGCAACACCCATGAACCAGAGGCTGATTCTCACCCTATAGCTTGGTCTGCTCCACCTGGACAGATGCCCCCTAGTGGACATTACTTAAATGCTCAAGGACCTAGGACAAAAATCTCACCCAGGTATATCAATAACAGGGCTGTTCTCTTCAAAATATTCTGCAGAAATGGGCTCTGGTGGCTCATGCCTGTATCCTAATTACTCAGGAGGTTGAGCTCTGAGGTTCACGGGTTCGAAGACGGCCCAGTCAGGAAGGTTTGAGAGACTCTTGTCTCCAATAAACCACTAGAAAACTGGAAGTGGTGCTGTAGTTCAAGTGGTAGAGTACTAGCCTTGAGCAAAAGAGCTCAAGGACAACACCCAAGCCCCGCAACCACCACCAACAACAACAACATGTGTGTGTATGTATTCATTCTTCAGAGAGAATGAGGGAACAGATGATACTATACAGAAGGAAATGTACTCATTACCTGACTCATGTAATTTTAATCCCTCTGTACATAATAATAGCAATAAAGTAAATTAATAAAACCTTTAAAAATTAATAAAAAATTAAAATCAAAGCAACTTGAGAGAATTTTAAACAAGAGCTGCCATTATATATATATATATATATATAGAGAGAGAGAGAGAGAGAGAGAGAGAGGTTCACCTGACACTTTCGTGAATGTTAATTTATTTACAGAATTCATTTTAGGACAAGTAATTCATAGTTCTTTTAAAATTAGCTTTTTTTCTGCTATAATGAGAACCATTGATGCAATTTAATCACAGAACTAAAAATTTTTTTCCTTTTTTTTTTTGTGCCTGCCAACTTGTGATTTTTCAGGATGACAAGGTAATGGTAAGATTTTTTTCCCCCAATGTTTAATAACACTTACAGTTAGTCCTAACATTTTGCAGATCTTCCTCACTATAGGTAATGGATGGTTTATGAACACTAAGGCTATTCTGACATTTGCACGTTAATTTCCCATTTGCCCTGGGAACCAGCTTTCAGTCTGGTTTCTAGACTGGTCTCTGTGAGTTCTAACCTAGTGTCAGCTCTGTAACTCATGACAGCAGTTTTGGTAGAACCGACTCAGTCCAGGAAAGGAAACGCTTGGCATACACTCAGATGTTCACACACTTCAAGCTCTTGTTCTTTTATTTTCTTTTTCTTTCTTTCTTTTTTTGTGCCAGTACTGGCACATGAACTCTGGGCCTTGGACTCTTGCTTAGCTTTTTTACTCATAGCTATTGCTCTACCACTTGAGCCATGCTTCTTTTTTGGGGGGAGGGAGGTAGTTCTGGGGCTTTAACTCAGGGCCTGGCCACTGTCCCTGAGCTGCTTTTGCTCAATGCTAGCACTCTACCCCTTGAGCCACAGGGCCACTTCCAATTTTTTATGTGTATGTGGTACTAAAGAATCGAACCCAGGGCTTCATGCATGCTAGACAAGCACTCTACCACTAAGCCACTTTCCCATCCCAAGCCATGCTTCTTGTTCCAACTTTTTGCTGGATAATTGGAGATAAGAGACTTGAGGATTTGTCCACCTGAGCTGGCTTCAATAAGCAATTCTCAGATCTCAACCTCTTGAGTAGTTAAGATTACTGGTATGAACCACTGACACCCAGCAAAGCTCTTGTATCTAACAGCTGTAGGTTTGTGGGAACAGCAAGGAAGGGGAGGAGCCTGAGCAGCTGAGCCACTTAGATCCAGGAGTTCAGGGAGTAAAAGTCTCTCCTGCTGAGGCTGCAGCATCCACTTCCCCTATACCTTGTTCTCAGCCACTGAGGAACAGATACAACTGGACTTATCTGAAACTAGTTTCTAAGAGCATGGTATTTGAAACATATTCTACTAAGTCCATCGAGCAAATGTTAAATAAAGAATCCGACAAATCCTATTTAGATAAATTGAACAGGCCATTGTGTTCTGAAGTATATTATTATTAAGAAGATACAGAAAGAACAGTATGCCTCATCTCTTCCTGTCCTGCTTTGGCAAAGTAGAAAGCAACTGAATAAGGATTTTAAAACTATGTTCCTGCTGGGTACTAGTGGCTTATGTTTGTAATCCTAGCTACTCAAGAGGCTGAAATCTGAGGATCATGGCTTGAAGACAGTCCAGGAAGGAAAGTCCATAAGACTCTTTATTTCCAATTAACCACCAAAAAAGCCAAAAGTGGAGCTGTGGCTCAAGTAGTAGAGTGCCAGCCTTAAACAAAAAAGAAAAGCAAGAGAGTGATCCAAGTTCAAATCCCAGTATTGGCACAAACAATATATAGATGATTGGATGGATGGATGGATGGATGGATGGGATGGATGGATAGATACATAGGATAGATATTATGTTCCATGTCAGGTTAGACCAAATAGAAAAAGGAAATTAAAATGTTGATAAAATATCCCTTTTATATGAAAAAAAATTGGTAATGTACCTGTCTAATGTTTCTTTCCAATTCATGTACATATATGTATGTATATAGATTTACATACATACTATGCTGAGTTGCGCTAGAGAAGAGAATTAAAAGGAGCAGATGGAAGATATTTAAAAAGAGCTCCCTCCTTCCCACTTAGATATATCTTAAGATGAGATGAGAAAAAAAACCTTGAATTTTATGAAGCATCACATCTGAACATTACCTACTTTGTACTGAGTTTTTAATGGGGGAAAAAAATGAAGTTAGTGCCAAGTTTTCGGATATTTTATTTGGTGTTTCTTTCCTTTGAACTGGTCAGAAAGTAATTGATTGTTTTTGCACATTCCATTGAGTGGTTGCCTAGCTATTTTTCTGTTGTTGTATAGACTGTTACGCTGTGTGTGTGTACATGCACACACACATTGTTTCCATATGTCAAATGCACAGTGCCCACCAGTGATTGTATTGGCAGGGCAGTGGTACTACAGATCTGGTCACCTTTAAATGAAGTATAGTGTTAAGGCATTTTCCAGCTGTGGTTGCATGGGGCTGAGTTGATGCTCAGTTGTGACACAGGTAGGGTGAAGTACATAAGCACCCCCGAACTGGAGGAAAACAGAATATGTTGGCCACACCTTTGTCAGTTGAGTCTTAATGTGGGAATGTGTCATTTCTTCCAGAATACAATGACAGATGCCACAATACTTTTGGAAGATGTACAAAAAATGAAAGATAAAGGCGAAATAGCACAAGCATACATTGGTTTGAAAGAAACAAACAGGTAAGTTGATTCTTCTTTGCTTCATTTTAGCTTAACTGTATTAATCTTGAGTCTCCAAGTCAGCCAGCCTCCTTGTGGACCAGAAGTCAACATGACCATTCATTGATCAGAGAGCAACTTCAGAGAGAATCCAAGACTTCCCATGTACTCCCTGTTAAAATCCATTATAAACAGGCCCGTTGAGGAACATGGATCAGTAGGAGCGGGATGAATGAAGATGAATATGATTGAAGTTCTCTTTTTTTTTGGGGGGGGGGTCTGGTCGTGGGGCCTGAACTCTGGGCCTGGGTGCTGTCCCTCAGCTCTTCAGCTCAAGGCTAGCGCCCTACCACTTGAGCCACAGCGCCACTTCTGGTTTTTTTCTTTTTGCTTATGTGGTGCTGAGGAATCGAACCCAGGGCCTCAGGCATGCAAGGCAAGCGCTCTACCACTGAGCCACCTTCCCAGCCCCGGTTGAAGTTCTTTATATGCATATATGAGAGTAGGATCACAAAACTATTGAAAGCATTCTAAGACGTTGAGAAGGGGGTGACCCACCATGCTCAGCCACAGGTATCAAATCAAGAGTACTTTTGTAAATTAAAGCCAAGAAAATCTGGGTGCTGGTGGCTCACTCTATAATCCTAGCTACTCAGAAGACTGAGATCTAAGGATCAAGGTTCAAAGCCAGCCCCAATAGACAAATCCAAACCAGCAAAAAGCTGAAAGTGGAAATATGGCTTCAGTGGTAGAGCATCACCTTTGAACAGAAAAGCTTAAGGAACGGCAGTACCTACGCCTTGAGTACAAGCCACAGTACTGGCACAAAAAAGAAAAAAAGAAGGAAAAGAAAGAGTAATAGAGGAGGTGAGGTTGATGGGGCACACTGGATAATGTATGGGAATGTCACAGTGAACCCCCCTTGTACACTGTACAATAAAAATCATCGTGGCAAAACTCCCATTGATAATGGTAGGTAGTATTATTGATAAGAGGTGTCTGGAAGCTTATTGCATGAGGGAAAGATACTTTCATGTATTCAGGGCCTTAGCCCTCAAGTGCTGCCTTGAGAAGGCCAGTTGTGCAGTTGGACAGTCTTAGGTGGGCCCTTCATAATCTGATTGCTACCCCCCATGACTGTTGGAAGGTCTGTAGGGAAATGTCAGCTTTCAGTAAGGGGAACTTGGTCAAGAAGAGAAATGATGAGGTATACAGAATTTCTTCAGTGTTGGCCTTAAACTTAGGGCCTTAAACTTTGGCTGACAGACTGGTGCTCAACCACCTGAGCAACGCCTCCAGACCCTAAGCTAAAAAGATTAGCATGACTTTAAGGATGGGAGAATAAGACTTTTATCTGGAGTTCTGCTTTCCCATTACCTTACTTCTCAAAAGAATATTAGTACTACTGAATTCTGAAGACTATTACTAGGTGTTTTTGTTTGTTTGTTTTTTGGCTGGAAGATTTGAACTCAGTGTCTGAGTACTGTTCCAGAGCTCTTTTGCTCAAGGCTAATGCTCTACCACTTTGAAACATAGTGCCACTTCTGGTTTTCTGGTGGTTGATTGGGGATAAGAGTCTCATGGATTTTCTTACCTGGGCTTGCTTTAAACTGTGATCTTCAGATCTCAGTTTCTGAAGTAGCTAGAATTATAGGCATGAGCCACTGGCACCCAGCTTGCTAAGTGATTTTGAAGTGACCTAGCCAGGGATGACAGCAGAGAAAGCCAATTCTGGTGATACCTATTATCAATGTTTGGTCCAGATTTCCTGGTATCTAGTGTCAGGATGGGCACACTCAAGTAAGTGATCACCAACTAAAGATATTTGCCATGTAAACAGTGAAATAAGTCTTACTTCCTTTTTTAGTCACTGATGGGAAATACACAAGCATTTGGTTAAATGGAAATTTTAACTTATAAATGTAAATTTAAAACATGGGTATATCTAAGAGTACATTACCATAGAAAGAGCAATATGGTAGAGTGCTCGCCTTGAGCTGAATAGCTGAAGGACAGCGCCCAGGCCCAGAGTTCAAGCCCCACGACTGACAAAAAAAATAAAAAAATAAAACAAAATAAAATAAAAGGAGTAGATTTATTTGTTTGTTTAATGCTGGTATTGGGGCTTGAACTGAGGGCTTTCGTTTGGCCTTTTTGCTACAAATTGGTGCTTTTCTACTTGAACCACAGCCCTTATTTCTAGCTGTTTTGGTAGTTATTTAGAAATAAGATTCTCCTGGCTTTGGGGCCCCCCCCAAACTCTACCCTCAGATCTCAGTCTTCTGAGTAGCTAGGATTGTATCAGTACCAGGTTAAAATTGTTTTTAAGTGGGAAGTTTGATTTGATTAAGCTCAAGCAAATTCCTATCCAGAAAACCTAAAACTTGCTTTTGAAATAGATGGCCAAGATTGTCACATAAAGTGGGAGCTGGAATTTTCCTTCTATATGTGTCATAGCTTCCCATCTATGAATCATGGATCATTCAGCCACCTGAAGGAAATCTTGGAAACAGAATCTCTTTCTTTTTGTTGACATTGATTTTTTTTTTTTTTCAGGAAAAGTAGCTCTAGGTTCTTGATTATTCGGCTCTATGTTCTGCTCGTTGCAGTGTTACATGTCCTTTTTAAAAAAAAAAAAAAAAGTCACCAAAAGTAGTTTTTTTGTGTGGTTTTTGTCATAAGGTTACTAATGAAAACAAACTTGTCCCCTTGATAAATATTAAAATAGCATGCACACTTCCTGTCATCCTTACCTCATTTGCATCCTGTGTCCCTTTGTGTTTTGCATTGTGTTCCTTTGCATGGAAGATCATCTGCTATGGATTGCCATGAGTTGAATGAGGATGGAGAGCTGTGGCTGGCTTATGAAGGGTTAAAACAAGCCAACAGGTTATATTTGTCTCCTCAAAATGGACTGTTACTAATTTGTTTCTTTTCTTACTAACAGTAATCTCTTGACTTTAACTCCCATGTTTTTTATGTATTGATTTTCTCCATGGTAAATTACTTTCAGTATAACAACAGAGAACATTCAGTCCAGATACTCAGTGTGCACACACAGACACACACACATAGAGGTGCTGTAAAAGCTAAACTTTAGCTGGCCACCAGTGGCTCATGCCTGTAATCCCAGCCACTCAGGAAGCTGAGATCTGAAGATTGCATTTGAAGGCAGCCCTGACAGGGCTGTGTGAAACTCATATCTCCAGTTACCCAGCAAAAAGCTGGGAGTGGAGCTGTGGCTTGAGTGGCAAAGTGCAGCTTGATCAAAGAGAAAAGAACACCCAGGCACTGAGTTCAAGACCCAGTAGGTATACCAAAAACACACAAAACATCAAGAGGGTTTCATGCTTTGCTTCAGTTCAGAATACCTACCCAAACTCAGCAGCACACTAAATTTGTCCATGGAAAAGAACACAGAATTTTTTTAAAAAGCATCTTTGCAACATACATACTCATTATGTGTATCTTAAAAATCTTATAAAAATTCCATTTTAGTGAGTGCATTTAAACAATTTTTGCACTGTTCAAGGGGCTTCTGCTTATTCTGCTTTGCTTGTTCTAACAGTAAACCATTGCCATTAACTTTGTGGTGTTAATGATTGAAATCCTTTTGAGATACTGCAATTATTAAAATACTTTTAGTTTGTTATTCTTTATTGGCAGAGTCACCAATGAGTTTTACCCAGGCAGTGGTAATGGAGACAATTAGAATAAATGAATGTCTTTTTTTTTTAATGTTGGTTAATTCCTTTTTTATCTTTTTTGTGCTGATACTAGGGCTTGAACCCAAGGCTCGAGCACTCTCTTAAGGCTGATGCTCTACCACTTGAGCCACAGCCCCACACTTCCATTTTTTTGCTGGTTAATTGGAGATAAGTCTCCTGGATTTATCTGCAATCCTTAGATCTCAGCCTCTTGAGTAGCTAGGATTACAGCAGCCTGGCCATGTTGGTTAATTTTTAACCATGGCTGTTTTGAGTTTGGTGAAGGAGTGGAAAAGAGGGTACATGGTGAAGGGGGACATGCTGACCAGTGCCTGTGCTGTCTGTGCCAGCTCTGCTCCATGTACTCAGTTGGCTGCCAGTTTCCTCAGAGATCTACTGAGCATGTCAGATCCTCTTAATACTAAAGTTCCAAAGCCCTGTCTTGTTAGGATTCTGTTACTTATATGTAGAAAGACAAGATGCTAATATGTATATATTTTTTCAATTGTCACTGGGAATTAGGGTAAATGTATTTGAAAGTAGCACTCCAGCCTTTCTACCCTAAAGCAGAGATTTAAAAATTATATATGCGAGACCATGGCTATACCTGGAATGAGTAGCTGTATCCCTAAAGGCATATTTGGTTAGATTAACAGTTTGCATTCTTATCCTTTATAATTCCAACTTAGCTTGTGGTGATAATTCTGTTGGGTTTGGCCAACTTAAATACTACTTTATGAATATAGTAAGCCAACATTAAAGCTACATCTTTCATTTCTTTTTATTTTTTTAAGTTTTGGTGCTGGGGATTGAACCTGGGACCTTGTGCATGCTAGGCCAGCCCTCTACAGCTTGAGCCACGTCCCCAGCCCTTTTATGTTGTTTTTAAAATAGGGATCTCAAGCTGAGTTTGCTGGGGCTGGGTTGTTTCCCATCTCTGCCTCCTGAGTGTGTCTAGGATTGCAGAGATGTAGCACCATGTCCTGCTCTAATTGATTTTTAATACATATTTTTTAACGTAAAGATACTATACAGAGGGGTTACAGTTACATGAGCAAGGTAATGAGTCCATTTCCTATTGAGCATTGTTACCCTCTCCTCTGCTTTTTTTTTTTTTAACTAATCATTTCCTCACATTTTTTCCAAAAAGTTAAAACTCCTGTGTTTCTGAAGATGAGCTTTAATCGGTTCAGAAGGACACAGGTATGTGAGTGCATATCGCCCTGGTTTGAGTTTTTTTGACTTGAATCAAGTCAGATGCTGACACACACATGCTGCAAGTTGCTCTTCCTCTGGGAAGTGAGCCTGTGACCTCAGGCCCCCCAGGCCGGGGCTCTGTGTGTCATCTCCCCCTCTGCTGGTGTGGCTTCCACAGGCTCTTGGAATCACAACTGCAATCACAGAAGAGGAGCCATGAGAACGAGGCCGAGGCCCTCCGAGGGGAGATCCAGAGCCTAAAGGAGGAGAACAATCGGCAGCAGCAGCTGCTGGCCCAGAACCTGCAGCTGCCCCCGGAGGCCCGCATCGAGGCCAGCCTGCAGCATGAGATCACCCGGCTGACCAACGAGAACCTGGTAAGGACAGGGGCGGGACTTCCTGCTCCGCCAGCATGCTGGATGGTCTGCTTTCCTTTTTGTCCAACATCCCAGTTGGGAAAAACACCCTGCCTTACACTTGTTATCCCTTATTTTGCAGCAGTGAGAAGGGCATGTTCAAAGGTTGTCTTTCACAGAAGGTTCCTGGGGGGTGGAGGGAGGTCTGATGTTCTGGACCCTGAGCTGGTAGTGCTCTGTCACTGGAGCCACAGCTCTACTTTTGACTTTTTGGTGGTTAATTGGAGAGAAGAGTCTCACAGGCTTTTCTGCTCAGGCAGGTTTCAAACCACCATCTTCAGATCTCAACCTCTTGAGTAGCTAGGATGACAGACAGTTGTGAGCATCTGGCACTCTGCTAGTTAAGGTTTTTTTTTTAATAACCTATAATACAAATGTTTGCATCTTCTCTAAAGACTTAACAATCTGAATCATCCCTCCATTGTTCCAGTAATGATCATTCACATTGCAAATACTTTTCTAGTGTCATTTATTCAACCCAAAGTTATAAGTCTCCTGTCCCCCCCACTCTGCTGGCTGTGAAACCCCGGGGTAGAAATGGGAGGTGGGAAGGGAGAGGTGGTATTTGGACTCTTTCCAAAGTGCCTGAAATCTCTTAATTTGTCGGGGGAAATCGTCTGAATCATAAAATACTCTTAAAATGTCATTGTATAGTACTCTTGAGTTATATCATGGCTTATATTCAACTAACAATGCTTTCATAGCTAAGAATAAATCTACCGAGTAACTGAATAATTTTGAATAATATTGATTGATGAGTGTGCAAATTCTGTGTTTTATCATTGGTTTTGTTAAAATAACTAAGTGAGCCCATGAAATTGAGATGCCTCTGGGCTATCAGATTCTTGGGATTTGTTCACTAAGTTGATCAAGTGTTTTCTTTGCACTGTGTCTTCAGCATTCATTTTCTTGGCAATTTTTCATAGCTAACATAAAAATAAACTAAGCCCCCATATTCTAAGCTGGGAAAGGTCTAGTTAATGAGTCTGAGTTCAGAAAACCCTCTTTGCAGATCAGCTTTTTTCCTGCCCTTATATTGACTACAGATTCCAAAGAACGATGTCATATTCAAGTTCACAAAATATTTCATTTCAGTTTTTCAAACTCATTGTAGTTTCTTAGTTTGAATTGTAAAATTCAAATTCATTTGCTTATTAATTGCCAGCACTGGCGCTTGAACTCAGGGCTGTCCCATCGCTTTTTTTGCTCAAACCTAGTGCTCTACCACTTGAGCCCCAGCTCCACTTCTAACTTTTTGGTGGTTAATTGGAGATAGAGTCTCATGGACTTTTCCTGCTCAGGCTGGCTTTGAACTGTGACCCTCAAATCTCAGCTTCTTGGATAACGAGGATTATAGGCATGAGCCAATGGCACCTGGCCTGTGGCATGCAATTCTTGAGGAAGCCCTTGAGCAGAATGTGAAAGCAGCAGTTGATTTGGGCTGTTTTTCGGAAAGTGTGCCTTGCATAACATCCACCACCCACCTGCCGCCAACACCAATACAAAAATGGTTTTTCTCCCTCATGAAGTGAAGAGGATTCACAAGCCTCCTCCACATGGCCTTTGGGGAAGGAAGGAAAGAAGGAAGGGACAGGGCTTCTCACCAGCCCCCCTGTACCTTCAAATGAGAGGCCCTGGCAGGGCTGTATTGCTCACTCCCTACCCTTGTGGCTGTGGCTGGCTACAGAGCATGTCACTGAAAGAGAAGCAAGAAGTCTGAGCCTTGGCTGGATGACATGGCCCACTGCTGGTGGCCTGCTGAGCAGCAGTGTCTTTGTCAGCCAACCTGTCTTTTTTGTGCGGGTGCTGGGGCTTGAATTTAGGGCCTGAGCACTGTCCTTCAGCTTTTCCATTCAAGGCTGGTACTCTTATCACTTGAGCTATAGTTCTACTTCTTATCTTTTTGGCCAGTTAATTTGGAGATAAGAGACTCAAGGATTTTTCTGCCCAGGCTGGCTTTGAACTGTGATCCTCAGATCTCAGTCTCTTGAGTAACTTGATTATAAGCATAAACCACCAGTGCCCAGCACCTCCTGTCTTTATCATGCAAAAAAAAAATCACTTACGTATATAGTTCAGATCATTTATATTACAGTAATGAGAGTGCTGGCAGATGAAGAATTCAGGTTTATTATTTGTGTTTTCAAATATTTTTTTAAATTGATTCTGCTGAGAGGTGGCCTTTCCTCCAAGACCCAAGAAAAAAACAAATATCCATTGTGCCTGTTTTTTCAGTATTTTGAGGAATTATATGCAGATGACCCTAAGAAGTATCAATCCTATCGGATTTCACTTTACAAACGGATGATTGTATGTAAAATCACAGTGCTTTCTCCTTGTCTCCCTCGCTCTTTTCAGCCCTCTATAATTGAACAGCCACTGCTGTCTGCCCCTACCCAGAAAAATCTCCTGAAAACCTTGCACACAGCCTGTTTCTCCCCACAGCTGTCTCTCCGCCAGTGGTGTCACCTCTCAGTGTCCTGCGTCCATTGCCATGTTTGGTTTGTTTTTAACACTGGGCTTACAGCATGATGGAAGCAAAATGTGTTTGCAAAGATCAAAATTCAAGAAGCATAACTCTGAACACTTGGAAATGTTAGCAACTATTTCCTTCAAAACATGGGTCTGGTATCTATATACACTTGTCTAAAGTGGACAGTGAATAAATTTGTGTTTCCTGTGTGTGCGGGTGTGTGTATGTATGTATGGGTGTGTGTATGCATGGGTGTGCTGCGGTGACAGTTCAGCTTTTCTCTCATGGCTGGTGCTCTACCACTTGAACCATGCCTCCATTTCTGCTTTTGCTGGTTAATTGGAGATGCATTCCTGTAAACTTTGCTGCCCAGGTTAGCTTTAAACTTGGATCATTAGATCTTAGTCCCCTGAGTAGCCAGGACTATACAGGGTGAGCCACAGGTTCCTGGTACAAATTTGTATCTGTAAATGCTTTTCCCTTTCGGATGACAACTATAAACATAACTGACTCATTTCCTTCCAAAGCTTTCCAAAACTACTCTTGTCTACTTTCCTTTTAATTCCTGAGTTTCCAGCTGTACCTGTCATTTGAGAAAGTGAATAATCATAGAGCTTTTGTTTTTTTTACCCTCCCCTTAACTAGACTGTTGCTTCCTTGCATGACGTGTTCATGGATGCCCACTTACACTGCTACCTGCCCCTTTGTCCTAGGTCAGCTACATCTTTCTTTATATCACTCTGATTATTTTTTTTTAGCTTATATCTTTTTGGGGGGGCATCCTGGGGCTTCAGCTCAGGGCCTGGGTGCTATCCCTGAACTTCTTTATGCTCAAGACTAGCACCCTACCACTGGAGCCATAGTGCCACTTCTGGCTTTTTCTGTATATGTGGTACTGAGGAATCAAACCCAAGGCTTCATGCATGCTAGGCATGCACTCTACCACTAAGCCACATTCCTAGCCCTTAGCTTACATCTTAATTTTCCAAACTTCTTACTTTGCCTAGATTTCAAGGCTTATTTTAGAATCTGTTAAGGTAAGGTCTAAAAAGAGACCATGGCTTCACACATACAGAACATCAGTCTCCACACCAAACTGCAGCCATCCTTAAAACATCCACCTTTTGGGGCTGGGAAGTTGGCTCAGTGGTAGAGCGCTTGCCTTGCATGCCTGAGGCCCTGGGTTCGATTCCTCAGCACCATATAAGCAAAAAAAAAAAAAAAAAAGCCGGAAGTGGCGCTGTGGCTCAAGTGGTAGAGTGCTAGCCTTGAGCTGAAGAGCTGAGGGACAGCACTCAGGCCCAGAGTTCAGGCCCCACAACTGGACAAAAAAAAAAAACCAACCTTTTAAAAAATTTTTTATACAAATACTGGGGCTGGAACTCAGGGCCTGGGTACAGTCACTTAGATTTTTCAGAGCTCAAGGCTAGTGCTCTACCATTTGAGCCACCACTCTACTTCCAAGTTTTCAGTGATTAGAGATAAGAGCCCCACAGACTTTTCTTCCCAGTCCTCAGATCTAAGCCTCCTGAGTTAGTAGGGTAGCAGGCGTGAGCCCTCAGCACCTGTCTAAATCTTCCCACTGTTTTGTGTTTTGTACATTGTACCTTTCCCCCTTCACTGGGATGACAGTGCATTTGTAAGCATTCGGTCATTTTTCTCCCACATCAAGTCCAATGGAAAAGACCCACAGCAAACCTGCCTTCCATCACGCTGTAAAGCCTTTTATGGCATTGCCTATTTTAGCATTTGGCTTTTACCACAGCTGCACTTTCCACACCTGCCAGTTTTAGCCAGGTGGTGGCTCCACCAATGAGCTATTCTAGAGCTTTTCTATAAAACTAACAGTGCTGTTCTGTGGTTTGTGTCTCCCTCACTGTATTTTAAAAGACTTATTTTGATCTTTCTGTTCTATTTTTCATCTTGATCTTTAGGATTTGATGGAACAGCTTGAAAAACAGGATAAGACTGTCCGGAAACTAAAAAAACAACTGAAAGTATTTGCCAAGAAAATTGGTGAACTAGAAGGTATTTAAACATATTTATTACAATTGCAATATCTTGGTTTTATAGCACTTTCCAGTGTCCTAATAGAGGTTCCCATGTGAGTATTAGGATACCAACAAAAACATCTGGAATTTGAACTCAGGGCCTTTTACTCTAATTTAGCCTTTTCACTCAAGGCTAGTGTTGAACCACAGTTCTACTTTGGCTTTTTGCTAACGAATTGGCTTTTCTGCCTTGGCTGACTTGGAACCACAGTTTTTAGCCTCAGCCTCTTGAGAAGCTAGGGTTATAGGTGTGAACCTCCAGAGCTCAGCTAATCCTGTATTTTTAACCAAAAAGTTACGTTGTCATGTTTTCAGATGTTACTAATTCTAGGCCATTCTCACTCAGAAACCAAACTTATTGATTAAACTGTCCTGGCAAGTTTTACAGCATGTAAGTAACATTTGAGAAATCAATTCATAGATTCAACAAAAGAAAAGGCATAGTAATTCTTATGAAACATAATGAATTAAGTGATTCTTATCTAAAGGAGAAAAGGAAATCAATTCTTTAGGCTAGGATGCCTGAGAAGGGGCAATGTTCTTGTCCCACTCTCCAATCAGGGGATAAAAGTCACAAGCTCGGGGCTGAGAAGGTGGCTCAGTGGTAGAGCGCTTGCCTTGCATGCATGAGGCCCTGGGTTCGATTCCTCAGCACCACATAAGCAGAAAAAGCTGGAAGTGGTGTTGTGGCTCAAGTGGTAGAGCGCTAGCCTTGAGCTGAAGAGCTGAGGGACAGCGCCCAGGCCCAGAGTCCAGGCACCATGACTGGCAAAAAAAAAAAAAAAAAGTCACAAGCTCTCCTTAGACCTGTCTTCCTTCCCAAGTCCTCGCATCATACAGAAAACAATATGGCAACTTTGTAGAACAAAACACTTTCTAAAAAACTCAAAGTTTATTTATGTTTTTCTCTAACTATACAGCAACACATGTAAATCTTTGTTTTAACATTAGCATGTCTTTTGCTTCTTCCTGTAGGCTGCATTTAAATAAGGAAACTTTTTTTAACCGAAAACTGTTTTTTAAAAAAAAAAAGCCGACATATTTTTTTTTTACATGTAGCTAAATGGAGAATATTCTAAAATTTTATCTGCTTTGTGCTATGTCTTATTCTAGGAGTACATTATACGTGTTTCATAATCAAGAAAGTTAGACATAAGAGTATTCTAGAAATTATTTGTCTTTGTAAAAAAAAATTTTTAAAAGACTCCGAAACTATAAGTGACTTACCCAAAGTCTTGCTAGTTATATCTAACTGGTAGGATTAGAACTCCAGCTTTTTGTAGCTGATTTCTCTCCTTTGGATCAGAATTTCCACCACAGTTTCTCTACTAGTGGGAACTTATCTCTCTCAATGAAACCAGAGGTCCAGAGCTTCCTGGTGACAAAGGGGGAAAAAAAAAACCCACAAAATTTTAGGACATCCTCTTAATTTCCTCTACTTTTCCCAGACCAAAAAAGAATGTTTAGAATATTTTCCTTTCAATTTTATAAAGAATCTAGAAGATGAAGATCTCAATCTGTTTGTGCTACTCTAACTACGTACCTCAGCCTGGAGGTATGTCATTAGCAATAGAAATTCATTTCTCATACTTGAAGAGGATAGAAGTTCAAGTTCAAGGTACCCACATGTTCAGGGTCTGGTGAAGGCCTGGTTTCAGCTTCCTAGCTAGTAGTGCCTTATCTCTGCCTCTTCCAAGGGAGTGAAGTCTGTGTGTTCACATGGCTATAGAGGGATAGGAAGGGTAAAAGGCTAAACTAGTTCCCTCAACCTCATTATAAGGTAGTTTGGAACTCTCACGCTAGCCATCTGGTGGTCCCACAAGTTCTGTTACATGGGGACTAAGTCTCAACAAACACTCAAACTATAGCAACTACCATGGTCTCTTGGGCGTTAGAAAATTGGAGTAGTGTTCTGGTCTATGTCTTTCGGGTTTTATATTTTCCTGATGTTACATAAAAGTGAGCATTTTATTTTAGTCAGTAGATAATTTTGTTAAATAAATCAACATGTTGAGCGGATTTCTTATATTTCTGGGTCTTTATAAAGACCTAAGTCTGTATTCAAAACTCAGAGGCAAGAAAAAAAGTTTAATGAGAGGTTGGTAAATTCTGTCTGACATTTTTCATACAGAACCAGAAATATCCTGGTTTGTGATTTTATACAAGGAAAGTGAAGCTTTCTTTTAAAACATGAGCTTTCAGGCTGGGATGTAGCTCAGTAGCAAGTTACTTACCTAGCAAGTGCAATGTCCTGGGTTTGATCCCAGTACCAAAAAAGAAAAAATATTTTTTTTTAAATACAGTTAAAAAAAAAAAAACAACACCTTATTCCGTGTGCTAGTGGCTCATGTCTATAATCCTAGCTACTAAGGAGGCTAAGATCTGCGGATTGGGGTACAAAGCCAGCCTGGTCAGGGAAGTCCATGAGACTCCAATTAACCACCAGAAAACCAGAAATGGAGCTGTGTCTCAAAGTGGTAGAGTACTAGCCTTGAGCACAAAAGCTCAGGGACAGCACCCAGGTCCTGAGTTCAAGCCCCACAGCTAACAACAAAAACAAAAACAACAAAAAGCAAACTCAAGCTTTCCTAGTAAAAATGTTCACGATATCTCATAAAATCTGAGTATATGTGAGTATATATATGTTTCACACTTTAACATCTGTAGACTCAAAATGTAGCTTTATATCTGTTGATGCTGTATAGTTTAATTGACACTGTTAATTTTTCAGTGTTAATATCAAATGGTATATCATAATAAATGACATCTTAGATTTTTTTGAATTATGTAATTTAAAACATCACTGGTGGCTCACACCTGTAATCCTAGCTACTCAGGAGACTGAGATCTGAGGATTGAAGTTTAAAGCCAGCCCAGGCAGAAAAGTCCTATTAATTTACTTATTAATTTATTAATCAAAGAAAAAGCTAGAAGTGGTGCTGTATGATAGAGTGCTAGCCTTGAACAAAAAGAGCTTAGGGCCAGCGTCCTGGCCCAGAGTTCAAGGCTCAAGACCAGAAAAAAAAATCTTGTGGGTTACATGAAGCCCAACTATGTACACTTATTGATAAATGCAATATGTAGAATTTGTTCCCACCCCGTTTTCCCCTTTGGAATTGTCTCATGGCTCTAAGTGATTAGTAGACATTGATGGCAGGGATTTTTTGTTGTCATGTGTTTGCTTGGGGTTTTTCTGGTAGTACCAAGGCTTCAACTCAGGGCTTTGAGTTCTCTCTCTTGCTCATGGCTGGTGCTTTACCCTTTGAGTCATACCTACAGTCTGGCATTTTGTGCTGGTTGATTGGTAATGGAGTCTCTCAGATGTATCTGCTGTGGCTGGCTTCAAAATGTGATCCTCTAAATCTCAGCCTTCTGACTTGCTAGAATTATAGGCAGGAGCCACCGGTGCCTGGCTTTTTAATTTTTTTTTTTACATGTAGCAACATTCCACGAGCAGCCACAGCTCTGGGGGTCCTGGAGCCATAGCACTTGATGATGAGAGATGGCCATAGCCCTCATCTGTTCCTTCCCAGTCTGATCATCTGATCACTCTTTAGATGTCTGATAGTCCCACTGTGTGACACTGTCTTAGGAGGTGGCAATGTGTCACCTGGCTCCATGCCACATAAGCCAAGAGCACTGGAAGTTATCGGTGTTCTCTGTAATAACCTCTTTTCTGGAAATAGTTTCTCAGCACTAACAAAGGAAGTGTCCCAAAGCAGCAGTAAATGTTCTAGTTTTGCATCTGCTGCACATGGTGTTTGACAGTCTCAGAACTCAATCTGCGCTTCAATGGACTTTATAACAGCGCCCCCTTCTGGTGGGTGAGGGGTAAAACCTGCTTACTAGCTTGAGTCTCCAAACCCATTTGGTAACTCACATAACTCCTCTTCCTTTTCATTTGTTTCTCATCAATTCACAAGTCTCAATTCTTAGGTGAAATTGCAGGTTGATTTATATCACTAATATAATTCTTTTTCACCTTCTGCCCTTACAGTAGTGATAATTTTCTTTTTTCTTTTATTTTGTACTCAGGCTTGAATTCAGGGGCTAGCCACTGTCCCTTGCTTTTATGCCCAAGGCTGGTACTCTACCACTCAAGCCACAGCTCCACTTCCAGCATTTTGCTGGTTCATTGGAGATTAGAGTCTCACAGACTTTCCTGCCTGGGCTGGTTACAAATCATGATTCTCAGATTCCAGCCTCTTGAGTAGCTAGTATTACTGGCATGAGCCACCAGCACGTGGCTAACATAGATCATTTTTAATACAAAAAGGTTTTTGTACTTAATGATTACAATCTCCTCATAGTTCCTTTACCATTCTATTAAAAACAAAGACCCATAATATTTGTGAATATGTTTTAAATAAAAATGTTTCATTTATTTGGGATTTCTTGGGAAAAGTATAGCTGGGTATCCGTGACTCACGACTATAATCCTAGCTACTCAGAAGGCTGAGATCACGGTTTAAAGCCAGCCGGGCAAGAAAGTCTATGAGATTCTTACATCCAATTAACCACCAGAAAACCAGAAGTGGTGCTGTGGCTCAAGTGGTAGAGTGCTAGTCTTGAGCTGAAGAGCTGAGGGACAGCACCCAGGCCCAAATT